GGCAGGGCCGAGCCGAGCCCATGAGTAGCCTGCTCGACTCTGTCCCAGCCCGACCCGGCCCGGCCGGCTCTTTTGCAACGTGCGTTCACAATGAGCGCCTTTGTGATCCCTGGTGCTCCTGGGAGGCAGGCGGTCGACCTGAAAGTATAAAACCGGGAGCCGAGCCGGGATCTGGTAATAATAATAATAATAATGATAATAACAAACAACAATGACAAAACAACGCGGCAAAGCAGCGGGGTCGGAGGTCAGCCGGCGGCCAGGCTTGCGTGCTGACCAACGTGGTGACAAACTCAACTACCCGAGTTGCCGCAGTGTTTGCCACACAGTGCAAGCGAAAAAAATCGTTGGTTTCCTCAAAAAGCTGTTTCCGCTAAGTATTTTTCTCTGGCAGCAAAATGTTTGCTCCAACTCTAGTAGCAAAATGTTTGCTTTGGCAGGAATATATATCACTGATACTATTGGCTTGGGTTGTTTGATACCTGCTGATAAGAGCGGAACATGTTGGTATAATAACATTTTGCTGGTAGAGCTAAATATTTTGCGGAAATAGGAAGCAGAAAAACAGCAAACGTTTCTTTTGCTGTTTAAGCATACGCTCTTCTTTGCGTGGAGAGGTCTACATCTGCGCTTGCCCCCTGCCCCAAGGCATCGTCCATAAAGTATAGCCTCATCCGGCTGCTCGTAGCTAGCGGGATTCAGGGTAGGCTACCCCGCAGAGCACACATGCACTGCAGACAACGTGCTGCCTACCTATCGGGCGCTCTGAGAACTTGTTGAGGCTGAACTTTGCAAAGGGTCTCAACGGTGTTGTGCGGCACACTGCCGGTGGAAGGAGTCCTCAGTTCAGACGAACGAGGGGGAAGACTCGGAGAGAAAATGCAATACTGTCTCGTTTTCCCGCATGCCCCGCTCGGTACCACCGACATGACAGTTTGCTCATATCGTATTTCGGCGGCTCGCAACCTGAAGCCGGAATCAGCATGCGCCGGGTGTTGGTGCAGCGAGGCGCCTCGGGACTGCGGAAAAAGCTGCGCAGACGGACGAAAAATGTATAAATAAGGTAACGCGCGGGTCGTTTCGTTTCCTCGTCTTTCTTTGTCTGGTCTTGTCGTGGAGTGGAGGAATGGTCATGCATGTGTTACGTTACACAGGATGTCCCATAGGCCCCACGAAGCGCTCCGTAGTCATCACGAACGCATACAATCATAATGGAAGCCTGCATTTTTATGTTTGTCCCTTGTCTATCATGTGATGGTTGTTACAATCTTCAATGTTGTTTTTTTTCCTGGGCTCGCGTTGACCACGCGGCGCTTCACGACCCCCAGCAAGGTAGACAACACGCACGCCTTTATTCGACTCGGGACAACCACGAGAGAGGGATAGGACCTGGCGGCCGACCCTGTGTAGCTCGGACAGCGCGCGGCACCGAGGGGTGGGTCAGTTCTGATTAGGGAGGCCCACTCTCTCTCCCTCTCTCTCTCCTCTCTCTCTCTCTCTCTCTCTCTCTCTCTCTCTCTCTCTCTCTCTCTCGCTCGCTCGCTCGCTCTCTCTCCCTCTCTCTCTCGGGGGCGGGGATGGGTGGTGGGGGGCAAGCTCTCAGTAGTAGCTTAGACCCCCTCTCCCCCGGGCGGCTCAGCCCAGCAGCGCGAGCGCGCACAAAGTACGCCCGGACAGCGCGCTGGGCCCGGCCGCCCGCCGCTTGTCCCGAGAGACAATTTAGTGACTGGAATAAGCAAACGGCGGGGACGCGTTAGCATGAGCCGTCCCGTCTCCCCTCCTCCTCCCCCTCCTCGACCACCCGACCCTCGTCAACCTCTGAGTTGGGCCTGGTGGACACTGGCCGCGCACGTGAGCAGGCAGGACTGCGCTCGAAATCATTTATTAACAAAAACGCCATCGAGGCGCCCAAGCGAAAGACTGCTCCCTCCCCATTTATAAGGCATCGCCTGGCGCCCTCGTGCTGGCTGGCCCCAGCCCGGCCATCCTGCGGCCACGAGGAAAACTGGTGACGCCAAAAGAAACCGAAGGGGATGTCCTACCCACCCCACCTCGCCCCGCCCCGCCCCGCCCCGCCCCCGGGGACGGTACCGCGTTCGTTATTAAAGCGCGCCGCTAATAGCGCAGCGGTGCGCCTCCACTCCTGCCGAGGGGAGGGGGAGGAGGGGGGATGATCGACTGCAGTTCGGAGGAGTTTAGATGGAGAGAGAATAATGTGGATCACCGAGACCGTGGAAACAGGAAAAGTCTGTCCGCCGTCATAATCAAGGGTATTATACTCTTCCTGTTGGCCCTCGCCCCCGCTCCCCGCTCCACTCCCCCCGGCCCGGGCTTGACGACTTCACGACCTGGCTCGGTGTTTGGTCCCCTCCCCCTCGACTCTCGACCCGTCTCCTCGGGGAGCAGACGACAGGAGAGCGCGCGGCGCGGATGGTGCTCCGGTCTCTTTCAAAGAAGAGCGTCTTTCTATACGCGGGGTGGCCGTGAAGGCGCGGGGCAGGGGGGAGGATTTGAGTCCATTCTATTTGGTGGCCTCCTTCCTGCGCCGGCGGCGGCGGCGGCGGCAGTGCGAGCGGCGGCAGACTGATTCCGAAGAGCGTCTAAGGGGGGCTGACTACAGGCCCCCTTCCTCGCACGAGTCAGACAGAGACAGCGACTGCTCCCGTCTCTCTCGCACTCGTGCGGATGAGGCATCCCACAACTACCGCAGGGGATGGGCCGGACACGGCCTGACGGCGTGACCCGAGTAATGGGTGTCTCCTGTTCAGTTGAACAAGCCGTCGTAATAACCCTTTTTGAAGTTTGAAGTTGAACCTCCTCTTCGGGGCGTTCTGCGAAATCTGTCTGCAGCAGAAGCGACAACAGCGGCACAGGGGCAGCGGGAGCAGGGGCCGCGGGGAAGGCAAGGGCGGCAGAAGCAGGGGCGGCAGTAGCAGGGGCAGCAGCAGCCCCACGTCCTCGCTAGCCCACACCCGCCTTCCCCCCACCCCTCGGTTGAATATTTACCGTTCCCGGCTCGCTGCACCTCCTTCTGGCCGCCACCGCCGCTGCACTACGCACACCTTGTAATTTGGTTTCCATACGCCGCTGCCGTGGCGGGGCGTGGTGGGGCGGGGCGGGG